TCTACTCCAAGTCCTGTGTTGGGATGAAGCAGTCTCTTCCTCTCCCCACCTCCCATAATTTTTTTTTTAAATTTAACACTTATCTAGTATTAATTTAACAAAGGCAAACACAAACAAGCAAAGATTAATGTTAGAAAACTCCATGAACATCCAGCCCCTACCTTTGCCAGCAATAGCAATATCTAACATGCAAGTTTGAGCCTATCCAAACCAGAATCCCAGAAAAGCAGGTGACTTTGATGAATGACTTCAATGATGTGATTCCAGACCATCCTGAAAGCTTCCACTTGAAATAAATGAGCATTCCAACAGCAGCTGCCCAAACAATAAAATTATTCCCCTCTACAGACTGTCCATGAGCACTAGAGGTTGAAGGATCAACTGGATATACCCAAAACCTTATTAGAATCAGGAGCTTTCAATTTTCATTGACTGTCATAGATTGTTCGCTGCATTGTCACAGACAATTGCACTCATCAAAGACGTTGAAAAGCCAAAAGAGAAAACCCGCGGTGTGTCTTTTTTAAAGCACAAATATTGGTCTCTCAGAACTGTAAATAGCCTTTGCTTGTCAGATCTGCTACAGAGCCCATGCTCAAGCCACCCCTGGGCAACATCCCTGTTTGGACTCCACTGCTCTCCGTTGTTCGCGTGGGGGAAATGAGCACATCCCACTGAGCTCACGAGATGGTACTATCAGTACTTTGTACTAACCTTAGTACGAAGGTGAGAAATGTACTCTGCTGCTGGACTCTGGACCATGGTGGTGATCATTCTGATCAGATTTTTTGATCCTGCATAACCTGCAGCCTCAGGTAGTATGCTCTGCCTCTTTGGCAGCACATGACATGACTAAGAGGACAGATATAAATCTCAGGTGTTCTAGAAATTTAACTTCATTTTATTTATGAGCTTAATTTATATTTTAAAATCTCATTCTGCCTAGTGGCAGAAACTTCACCTAAGCCAATTTGGAGTTCTATTCTCGACCCCTGAATAAGTATGAGTTAGTTTAGAACACCAAGGCTCTGTGCTTGGGTGGTTGTGCTAGTCATTAGGTAGTCACTACTAAAAAAGATTCCAGCTCTCTTCTTCCAAATATATAGGAGGCTTGTAATTCCCCACACACCTGAAGTGTGGCCACATGACTTTCTTTGGCAAATGAGATGTACAAGCAAGTGGCATTTCCAGAAGGAAGCTTTAAGTGTCAGTCCATACTTCTCCCCATTCTTTCTTTCTTTATTTTTATTTTTTACTAGAAGGTCAATGCCAAATTTCATGCGAAGAGGGAGGTGTTTGTGTGTCTCTCAGCCCAGCCTGCACCCTCTCCAATCTGGATCCCTCTCACAATCCAGGACGGCTGCCTCCCAACTGCTCGCCTGCTTGCCTGATTGCCCCTAACTGCTTCTCCTGCTGGCTCGATCACCCCTTAACCACTCTCCTGCCAGCCTGATCCATGCGTAACTGCTCCCCTGGCAGCCCGATTGCCCCTAACTGCCCTTCCCTGCAAGCCTGCCTCCCCCCCCCCCCCAACTGCCCTCCTCTGCAGGATTGGTCCCCCCCAATTGTCCTTCCCTATAGGCCTTGTCCCTCCCAACTGCCTTCCCCTGCAGGTCTGGTTCTCCCAACTGCCTTCCCCTGCAGGCTTGGTCACCCCCAACTGCCTTCCCCAGCTGGCCCAGTCACCCCTAACTGCCCTCCCCTTGCTAGCCTGGTTACCCCTAACTACCATCCCCTGATGGCCCAGTCAATCCTAACTGCCCTCCCCTGAAGGCCTGGTCCCCACAATTGCCCTCCCCTGAAGACCATCTTGTAGCAGCCATCTTGTGTGTTGGAGTGATCGTCAATTTGCATATTACCTCTTTATTATATAGGATTCCTTTGCCAACTTTCCAGACAAAGTTTATTCTAATAGGTCTCTAGGTGAGGACAGTACTGACCTAGCTCAGAGATTTCAGCTGATCTGCAGTAGTCCTGCAGTGCGAATGAGAAATGAGGCTTTGTTATTGAGCCACCTCAGCTTGTTGTTTTGTTGTTTTTGTTACCTCACCATATTCTAATCTACAGGTAATGGTAACCGTCCAAAATGTCCTCATTCCCACCTTGTCTTCAACTTGTCAATCTGTGGGGTCAGTGAGAAAGGCACCCAGTGTTAGACCTACAGTCGGCAAACTGAGGCTCAGGAGCTACATTCAGCTCTTTGGCCCCTTGAGTGTAGCTCTTCCACAAAATACCACGGCCTGGGCGAGTCTATTTTGAAGAATGGTTTTAGAAGAAGTTTAAGTTTAAAAAATTTGGCTCTCAAAAGAAATTTCAATCATTGTACTGTTGATATTTGGCTCTGTTGACTAATGAGTTTGCTCACCACTGTGTTAGACTAATGGGGTGAGAACTGACCTGGGTTCAGTAACCTTGGTTCTTGAGTTCTGGCTAGGAAATAATTCAGAGCCAAGATTCAAACTATAAGAGAACATTTATTTAGAAAATCAAAGAGATAAAAGAAGTAATTGGTAGAAGAAGTGGGCTGAAGAAACAAGTTATGGAGGCAAAGGAAAGTCAAGGTGATGTGCTTGATGGGATGGGAGGAGAATGGGGAAGGGCAAGGTGCAGCCTTACTCCTGGGAGAGCAGCTAGGTCCTCCCTCCTAAGAGTTTTAAGGGTGTCATCTTCAGGGACAGTCCCAGGGGAAAATCTCCATAGACCAGTGGTTCTCAACCTTCCCAATGCCTCGACCCTTTAATATAGTTCCTCATGTGTGGTGACCCCCAACCATAAAATTATTTTCATTGCTACTTTGTAACTGTAATTTTGCTACTGTTATGAAACGTAATGTAAATATCTGTCTTTTCTGATGTTCAGGCGACCCTGCTAGCAGTTCCCAACTGTGGGTAATAGTTCCCAACCTGAGAACCACTACTGTAGAGTCTGAGACCATTGGAAATTGAATAATGATCTGAGGTCTGCTGTTTGTCTGATTTTGCTGCTTCTCTGGGCCTGGAGCTGAAAAACAAGTGAGGCTTAGATGTTATCTCCAGGGAAGAAAGGTCTAAACTGCTTGACCATCAATGTGCTAAAGGAGGAAAGGTAACCATGGAGATGAGGTCTCACCCTACAATTGTACATTGCTAGGCATCCAGGGCTGTCCACTTGGTGACCTTCTGTACCTGGCCCATCGTCCTTGCTCTGCTCATGTCTGTCTAACAAATCCACACTGGCTAAATCATCGTCCATTCCCCACCTCAAAGCCTCCTCAGGTCTACCTTTCCCAGCTGTCTCTGAGCCCAGTGCAATACCCAATTGCCACAGCATCACACTGGGCCATGTAAAATTCTGGGAGGTGTTCAGGCATTCCATGCCACCTGGAGTCTCATGACTCCCCTGGGATACTAACAAGGAAAATGAGCAAGCCTGCCTCCTCTCTAGCTGGGCTTCCCACCATTCCCACTTCTCCAGGAGGCTTTGTCCCATCCCTTTCCCAAATACTAAAATAGTATGCCTTCTTCTAGCTTTTCCTAAAAGCTCTACTTGCCCTATCCAGAGAGCTGTGTTCTGACTTATCTGTAGCTCCCTTCACACCCCAATCTATTTATGCCTGTTGGGTGTTTCTGAACCTCCATCTGCTGGACTTTTACAACTCAAAAGCCAAGAATTGCCTTCTCTTTGTCTCTGAATTCTGCCAGAGCCCTTCATCCTTGGAGGCAATGAATGAGAATACACCAGGTTGTTTGAATGGAGTGGAGACCAAGGAAATGACCAAGGTGCAGGTGATCTCAACTGACATTTCAAAATATTTTTCTGTACATGCGTTCTGACCAATTATGAAGCTGAGAATTAATAAGAGCCTCGCTGAGAGGAACCCAATGTGTGACTATTTAAAGCCACTGTACAATCTCAATGGCCCCATTTTAGTGTGCTTTTGTACAATTGTTATTCTTGCAAAAGTCAGTGTGAAAGAAAGGTGTGTAGGCTCTTGGGCATGATGTCTCTCTAGAAAGCATATATAAGATATTTGAAGGATGACAGCATCTCTCCTAAGTTTCCTGAAATCTCCAGATTTTGAGAATTTGATACAGGAAGCAGTTAACTAACAAATGACAATGAAAACATTCTCTTCATATTTACACTTTAAGTGTAGAACATGCCCTGTCTGTGGCAGCCACTCTTAGATCCTGAAAGGGTCTCCCATTCTTCCCCCTGTGCATTTGAAAAACTCAAGACATAAATGTAGACCCCAGGGTTTCTCTAAGGAAGGACATAAAGCATTCAAAAGTCAATGCCTTGCTGAAACCGGTTTGGCTCAGTGGATAGAGCATTGGTCTGCGGACTGGAAGGTCCCAGGTTCCATTCCAGTCAGGGGCATGTACTTTGGTTGCTGGCACATACCCAGTAGGGGGTGTGCAAGAGGCAGCTGATCCATGATTCTCTCTCATTGATGTTTCTAACTCTCTATCCCTCTCTCTTCCTCTCTGTAAAAAATCAATAAAATATATTTTTTAAAAAAGTCAACGCCTGAGTGGGATATACTTCACCTCCTGAGGTATGGTCATCTGCCAGGCCTGGCGATTTTTCATGGGTGGGGAGAGGTAACAAAGTGAAGTCCAGAAATCACACCGCTCACCACATGATCCCATTCATTTTTCTAATCTAGGCAAACCACCCCATTCTTGGTATTGGTGCAGAAAGGAGCAGACCAACCCACTCCTCACCTCTTTAACTGGCCTTGCAAGGCAAACTGATCGCGGAGATCGCCTACAAGTTGGCCTGGCCTCACCTTTCGGGGTTGGAGAGGGACCAGGCGCCAATGGCCAGAGTGGAATCAGGACCGCGGAGGCGGATCAGGAGGGGAGGGCTCAGGGGCGGGGCCATGGCGGCGAGGGGGCGGGGCCAGGCGGGGACGCGGGGAAACGGGCTGTGGATGGACGGCCCGAGGGGCGGGGCGCGGAGGGATCCGGCCTGGGAGTCGGTCGGTACCGGGACCTGGGAGTTCCGTTCGGGTCTCCCCACGGCCTGAGCTCAGCGGCTGGGCTCGCACCTGCGCCCTCGGAGCGTGTCTCCGGTCCTCGATGGCGGCTGCTGCGGGCCTGCGGGCCTTCGGGGCACAGGTTCCCGCCTGGCTCCGGCGCGGCCGGTGCGGTCCGCTCGCCGCCGGCTTCTGCAGCGGAGGGCCGGCCGGGGCCCGGCAGCCGGAGCCGGAGCCGGGGTCGCGGCTCACTAGCTCGCGGCAGCGGGACGGCATCAGGTCAGGCTGCAGGCTGGCGCGCTGCTCCCGGGAGAGCCGGGCTGGCGGGGAGCGGGGAGAGAGCTGGACAGAGGCCACCCGACGCGGAGCCCCCCGGGGGAGCCGCCCGCTGCCCTGGACCCCCGTTATCTGTCATCTGGCCCCGAGGTGGTCCAAGGAAAGGAATCGCGGGTGCGGTACTTAGGGGAGCCCCTTGCCTGAGCGCAGGGGCGTTTGAGACCCTGCAAGACCCACACAGGAGGACTCCAAGTGGGACTGCCTCGACGGCCCCAAACCCTCAGACCCGCGGGCTCAGTGTGCGCAACTCTGCCGGTACACCCGTCGCGGGCTTATGAGAAAGCCCTTCCTAGAGGGGCTGGGCCAGGGGGGACCTGGCTACAAGGCCGGGGAGGCCTGGCAGAGCTGCTGCTTGGCCCTCACCAGAAGTGCCCAGTCAATAAATAGAGTGAAGGACACACCGTCCTGAGCCCTGGCCTTTGTCTCTACAGGCCCCAAGCCTCTTAAAAACCACACCTGTGCACACAGTTGGAGCAGCACCATGAAGTCAAGGGTGAAGGGCCTCTAGCCCCATCCAGGCCTCATCCTCACCTTTGCCGGGCCAGTCAAGGACCCCATGCGAGGCCGTTTTTTTTTTTTTTTTTTTTTTTTTAGCATATCTAAGTATTTAAAAGTTACAAACTAACTGCTAAATGTGTTTTCTTCTGCTGCCCCGACAAGCAGTACTTCATAAAACCTCCAAGGTCATGTTTGAATTTACAACCCTCAGGCTTGTAGGAGTCCCCCCAAAATGGAGAGCCAGCTGCTGACCTGCAGCTTTTCTTCCCAGCTTCTGCTCTGGCCTCTTCAACCCTCCTTCCCGCTGTTCTTCCAGAGGCGTGGCCCATAAGTCTGCAGACACCCCATCCACATGCCCTCTCTTGTTTTCTTCACAGACAACTCCTCTTGGTTAGTCCTGGGATCTAGGGTGCCCACTGCACAGCCAGGGAACTCCAGGGTCTCAGGTAATTGCAGCAAAGCTTGCAAGGGGAGGTTATTCCAGGGAAGCATTTCCCATTATCCTTGTGGTCTCCTGCTCGCTTGGATGGGCAGAACGGGACGGAGGCCCAGAGCTCCGTGTTCCAAAGTGCAGGACCCAGGCAGGGGCCCTCCTGTCCATTTTCAAAGGTAGTTTGAACATTTGGTTCCATCTGACAAGGAGCCTGACTTGTGGCATGGCGGCCTCGTTGTAAAAGGAGACCTGGTTGAGTTCTCCAGAGTGAAACATGGAGCAGAAAGGGAGATAGAGAAGAATCACCTATCATAAACACTGGGAATTGTTCAGGAGTAAGGAAGCCCCCAAATCCAGCATGGAAGCAGTACTATTGTTACTCACTAAGTAGGTGAGTTCAATTGAGCAGCTCAGTCAAGCTTTCAGTGTTCCCTTTCAAAGCTGGGCCTCAACAATAGGCAAGTGCCAGCTATGAATTGGGTTCTGCTCTAGGCACGAGAAGGAGCTCTGAAGAGGGATGGCATTTGGATGTTAGCAGAAAGCTGGGAGCCCATGGAAGAAGTAGAGAAGGACTAAAAAGTCAGGAGAGGAGGAATGCATTTCCAGAAGGAGGAGAGCATGATCCAAATGGCCAGTGGGTTTGGTTCAGACAATTAGAAGCTGTCAGTGGGAAAAGTTCTAGTGGAGTGGCAGGAAGCCTGGTTAATGACACTGGTTGAACAGTGAACTCAGCAACTTGGAGCACTCTCAAAGGGTGTGTCATATGCAAGCCAAAGGATTAATGAGACCCATATGAGCAGACACTGCCATGAAGCACTGAAATCGGGCTGGCATCTTTTTACACAATTTTGCCTGAGGTCTTAGACTTTTATTTAAGCATCTGCCATGGATAGGATGGCAGCTTTTTTGAGTATACTACAGCAAGCACATTCATAGCCACCTAAAGATGGCAGCAAAATGGAAATGGCATTCCAAAGAAAATGGTATTACACAGATTCAGTCATCAAAGTAGTTTTCCAGAAAACAGTGGCATAGGAGGCTATTTGTGGAGAATCCAAGTTGACACATAGCAGTAGGAATATCAGATTCAAAAAAGAAAGAGGAAGGAAGAAAAAATGTGGGTGGGAAACAGATATAAAACATATATTATTAATCTGGTGTTTGGTTTGCTGCTTGTTCCGTATAACAGCAAAAATAAGACATTTCTGTGTTTGGGCAGTAAGACGACAATACAGGTTCATCAGCATACTTAAAATAGTGAGCAGGCCTCTGAATGCCAGCTGCTAGTGAGATAACATGTCCAAAAGAGCCCTCTTGCTGTAGGTTCTGGCCTTCTGTTCATCACATACCATCCCATGTTCAGACAGCATGAATTATTGTGGAGAATTATAGGATGCCACTATAAAAGATGGGAAAATGCTGCCATATGTATGTATGGGCAGCTGCACCCACCGTGGCTGCCTATTCTGTGTGGTGGGTGGGAGGCGATAGGGGCAGATTCTTGGTTCTTTTCCTAACCTAATTTATTTCTGAGGAACAATGGGAAGAAGTTGAAGGTGGCACTATGTGTCAGATGCCTCTGGCTCCTGCCGCTGTCTTACAGACTGCGAACCCTCTATGTATGGGCAGCAATGATTTTGGGAAGACTCTGACTTGCCCTTTTGGTGCTGACAGTAATGTCTCTGACAGCAAATCTGAAAAAGAAACAAATGAAGGGAAGAGGGAAAAAATGCAGCCCGTATCTCGGGACGTCTCCTTGTTTTGACTTAGTTGTAACTCTGAAGAGTTGACAGACCATCTCAGTTGCCTCAAAGCACCAGCACTTCTCTTTTCTGGTGTTTTAAAAACAGCTCCCAAATTAGAAAGGAAGTGCAGGGGCCCTCAGTTGTTTTGACTGGTGCATGACCCAGTACTTATAAAGTGTTCTTCACAGGAACATTGTCTTGAGCAATCCAAAGAGGAGGAATGCGCTGTCACTGGCAATGCTGAAATCTCTCCGAAGTGACATTCTTCATGAAGCTGAAAGCAAAGATCTGAAAGTCATTATCATTTCAGGTACTGATCTTACATCCCTCCTCAGGGTTCTGAAGACTTTTCCCAAAATTCTTTTGTCAACTGGGGATCCCCTCAGTTAATGGGAGAATTGTTTGGGAGCTCCTTTACAAGAACATTCATTATGAAAAACTATCAATATTGTGAAGTGGGGGGCTTGGTCCTAACACTTACTGTTTTTTGTTGTTGACATTATTTCCCCCCCTAACACTGTTAATTGGAAATTATAGCAAAGATTACTGTGCAGGGAAAATGTCTTTCCTTTTTGTCAGATACGTAATATTCCAATTGAAATCAGATAATTGGTTTCCTCATGGACTGGATAAGAGGAGCTTAATTGCTGATCCTTTGGGTAGTTTAGCAAGTCGATGGGATCAGGCTGCTCAAGCATTTGGTTGGTTTGTTTGTCTGTTCCTATGAAACTTTGAACCAATAGCTGCAATCTTCTGCAGTTTGCTCATTTCTTTCCTTCCTCTTCTCCAGTAAAAGTTGTTAATGAATTATTTAGTGATGATGGTGATGGTCCAAGTCAGTGGTCGGCAAACTGCGGCTCGCGCGCCACATACAGTGGCCCCTTGAGTGTGGCTCTTCCACAAAATACCATGTGCGGGTGTACACGTACAGTGCGATTGAAATTTCTTGGCCATGCACAGTTTTTGGCCTGGGTGAGTCTATTTTGAAGAAGTGGTTCTAATGCCAAGCCACACTCAAGGGGTCAAAGATCTGCATGTGGCTCGCGAGCCGCGGTTTGCTGACCATTGGTCAAAGTAATATCAGTGTCAGCATTTTAAAGCATCCATAGAAATATAAAATGGATGATACCATGTGATGTACTGTTGTTGTTATAGAAATTAAGGGTCAGTTTTTCTGGAGGCAGATACTCAGAATGTTACCTTCTTACCTGTGGTTGAATATAAATTACCAACTGTTTTTTATGGCAAAGGAAAAAGATATAGGTCAGATATCGTTCAACAGCCACAGGAATATTACCCAGATGCAGCGAAGACAGTTAACTTCCATACAGCACAATTTCCTAACTTGTTTAAAGGGAATAATATTGCCCATCAAAAGAATTACAACAAAAGGAAAATATGAGAAAGTGTTACCAGCTTATCAGTGGAATTGCATTTTGTTATTATTTTAACAATAACAATAAAACCACATCCTTAGGTCCACGTAAAAAATAAAGAGTTCTCACCAGAGCTGGTTTGGCTCAGTGGAGAGAGTGTTGGCCTGAAGACTGAAGGGTCTCATGTTCCATTCCAGAAAAGTCACATGCCAAGGTTTCAGGCTCAATCCCCAGAATTGGGTGTGCAGGAGACAGCCGATCAATGATTCTTTCTCATCATTGGTGTTTCTATCTGTATCCCTTTCCCTTCCTCTCTTTAATCAATAACAAATATATATATATATATTAAAAATAAGGAGGTTCTCTTTACCTTCTGACCTTTCTGATCGCAGCCTGTACAGATGGCTAGTGTCTGTAGACTAAATGACAAGGCTTGCTGCAGGAGGCACAGTGGATTTTGATGGAACTGCATGAGTCAAAAATTTAGGCCAGATCAAATTCAAAAACCAAACTGTGAGACTGGAGGGACAACTCTGAAAGAAGTTGTCCATCTGCTTTGGTTACTACCTGTGTAATTGCACGTGTTCATTGGTTTCCACCACGGACTTTTTAGAGTACAGATGCCTCACGTTGAATTGTCATCACAAAATACTGGCTATAACTTTTCCAGTTAACCGGAATTATTCTTACCAAATTGGGCCATTAACTTTCTGTCTACAGCAATGATACAATTGTTTATTAAAATGATTCAATTGACAAATAAGTGACCTTCTCAGCTCTGCTGTTTACACCTTTTCATTTTCTTTTCTCATTTGGAATCATTTGTAGCTGAGGGGCCTGTATTTTCTTCCGGGCATGATTTAAAGGAACTGACGGATGAGCAAGGTTCAGAACATCACTCTGAAGTATTTCAAACCTGTGCAGAGGTAAGCCAGGAGGACATCTTGCATTGCAAACCTGAAAATGATAATTACATATACTAAATATTGAGTTAGGCTTCTAGTTTACAGGTAAGGTTTTATCTTTGAGACCTAACTACTGCAGAACTACTAAAACCTCTGTGGCCATTGGTGAGTCCTTTATCCAAGCAACAATTTGGTTTAGACTTTTAAAAGGCAACCATAGTTGTGATATGCCAAAAAAAGGGAAATATATGTTGGTATTGATAGCTGCCAGGTCCAGCATCATGGGTATGGCTTGGTATATATGTCTTAAGATGTAAAAGGTAGAAATGTACATCTTTATAGAGAAAGAACCTAAGATTATAATTTAAATTTTTTTTTTAACTAAAACAGTTCTGTCAGTGGAAAAGAGAGAACATTCATAAATGGAATAACAATAACAATTTTATTATTATTTTTTTAAATATATTTTATTGAGTTTTTACAGAGAGGAGGAGAGAGGGATAGAGAGCTAGAAACGTCGATGAGAGAGAAACATCGACCAGCTGTCTCTTGCACACCCCCTACCGGGGATGTGCCCGCAACCAATGTACATTCCCTTGACCGGAATCGAACCTGGGACCTTTCAGTCTGCAGACCGACGCTCACCACTGAGCCAAACCGGTTTCGGCAACAATAACAATTTTAAAATTCATTTTTACCCCCTCTTTCACCTCTAACTAGAAAAATTAACCTCTTCATTTTCACTTTAACAACATTAACAAGGGAAATTTCCAACAGATATTGAAGAGGAAGGACAAAAAGTTTAAGATAATTTAAAATTCTATCTCCTGAGATTCTGCCTAACAGCCCAGGCTCCCTCTGTAATGAGGGTCTGGCCTAGAACTGGGGTTCAGTGCAGTCAGAACTGGGGCTCAGCACAATCCGGAGCTTTTGTCTCCTTCCCGCTAGGGTAGGCGTGTCGAACTCAATCAGAGAAGGGGCCAAAATCTAAAATTCAGCCTAAATCGCGGGCTGAATGGTTTACTGAACAGTCATAAACTGTCATTGTGATGGAAACGCAGCGGAGTGCAGTGATGACAGCCCGGTGCGGGCCACATTGCAAGGCCTGGCGGGACGGATTTGGCCCGCGGGCCTTGTGTTTGACACATGTGCACTAGAGCAATCTAGCAGCAGAGTCAACGGTCCGTCCTCTGTGTGTTATGTGTGCGTCTCCCGGGGCTCTGTCTTTTGCCGCTCCCCTGAGATTCCACCTAACAGCCCAGGCTCCCTCTTTATGAGCCTGGGTCCCCAGGGTCTGGCATAGAACTGGGGTTCAGTGCTGTCGGAACTGGGGTTCAGCACAGTCTGGAGCTTTTATCTCCTTCCCGCTAGGGAACGCCAGCCAGGCACTCAGCCTTCCCCTCCTCTCCGGCTCAGTCCTCTCAGTGCGCACAGCGTGTCTCCATACCTTAGGCTTTTACAGCTCCTCTGATTTTCCTTCTGGTTTTCTTTTTCCTTCTCGTAGCATTTCCAGTCAGTCGACTTTCCTGTAGTTCTGGGTAATATCCATTTTGTATTTTAGTTGTATTTTATTAAAATTGTTGTGTGAGGCTGCAGTTAGGTGTTACCTATGCCGCCATCTTGGATTCTCCTCTCCATCTTAAATTTTTAAGGAAATTCCAAATACCAGTTTCAGACCTTTAACACTAGAGCTCCACATAGGTTAGTGAGAACAGAACTATTTGTTCCGCAGAGAGAATCAGCTTGGTTCTTATGCAGGGCTGCTGAGGAAGCAGCTGGAGAGGAGGGGACTGCAACCTCGAAGAGGCCAGGGCCTGGGAGTCAGATAGATGTGTGCATTCAGACCCCACAGCCACCACTTGTGGGTCTGTGGCCTTAGGCCAATTCCTTCCCCCTGAGCCTCGTGTCTCAATTGGAACTTAGTGTTCCTTCCTCCTGGGTTTCTCAGGAGTCAAACGGCACAATCTGGTCCACCGTCAGTATTCAATTCAGGTTCTCTCTGTGCCTGCTTCTGTCCTTTTCCCTAGAATCTGATGCACTAATGGGGATGAAAAGCTCTGAAGTAAAGTCACATGAAATAGCATTAATGTTGCACCTCACTCTTGGATGGATGTGAACTGGTTATGTTTGCTCCTTCAGGTCATGATGCTGATCCAGAATCATCCCGTCCCCGTGATTGCCATGGTGAACGGCTTGGCCACCGCTGCTGGATGTCAGCTGGTTGCCAGCTGTGACATTGCCGTGGCCAGTGACAAATCCTCATTTGCCACTCCAGGTGTAAACATTGGGCTCTTCTGCTCCACCCCTGGAGTGGCCTTGGGGAGAGCAGTGCCAAGAAAGGTAATCTGACCCCTGCAGCCTCCTCTCTAGTTGTAACCCTCACATGCACTGGAGGGTTGGCTCCAAATTCGCTTGTTAAAGTACCATTTGAATCAGGATGTTCTGCATGAAGCATAGCTGGCTGGATGCGCTGCAGGCTTCCTTTTAAGACCTCTTGTTTAGGGGGGAATGTGTAGCTTCTCACAGGTGCCTGCTTTTCACTTTACTTCGTGAATCATGCATTTTGCTGTTGCCTGTCCCTCTATGTGGTTAGTTATGGTTTTGGATATTTTTGTTTGTTTTCATAAAGGCACACATTTTTTATAATCTTATTTGAAATGCAGTTTAGACAGTTGCACTCTAAAGGTTGTCCATGACATGTAATAGCATGGTGACATGGCATTATCAAGAGGCTAGGATATGAGTGTCACTGGCTGAGTGTGTGCTGTCAGCTTGTCGTATTCTAGAAAGGACTGGAGTAGCTGCTATACTGAGTGTGTCGGCTTTATGATGGTTGTATTTTAGGAGCATGGAACATCTTGAGCTCAGCATGTTGAGGCTGCCCCAGGAGCCATATTGTCAATGTTGTTTTGTCCTTGCTAAATCCATTTTCTTTACAAAGCTTTCTCCCTTCCTAGAAGACATAAAACAATATTTATTGAACATCTTGTGAGTAGAAACCAGTGGCTTCCTTGTTATAAAAAATATATGTATCTTCATTCTCAATGGGAAATCTCTTTTTAAAAATGGGGGAGAGGGGTGTTGTATACCATAGCAAGTAGGAAACTAAATTGCTTTCTAGGATATTATGTCCATTTAGCATCTACTACAAAAGTCAGCAGCTCTTCAGATGCCTGAGGCACAAAAGAAATGAGACCCAAGCAAAATCAAGTCATAGGCTCAGAGACATTTAGGGAAGCACTCCTTTCTTTCACGATGTCTCTTCATTAGTTTTTACAGAGGTGTGTGCTTTTGCAGATGTTCTGAATAGAGATACCTACCAGCACACACACACATGAAAACTGGCTGAACATGGGCTCCACAACTACATAAAGTGGCCTGTTCAAACACAGAGCTTCTGAAATGTGCTCAGCCCAAGGCGGTGGTTTCATCTTGTCAGGATACACATGGACTTTAAATGTGGGGTGGGTGTGTGTGTTTCCTACTTTGTGCCAGTACATTAAATTAAAATGCATTCATTAAAAACATTGTCAGAGCTTATTAATAAACTGTCTTATAATTGTGCAAATCAGCTCACAAGGCCTTTTGCATACTAAAGGGTGGTTGTCTGGTTAGCCCACCTGCAGCTGTTCATCGTCAACCATGTTAAGGCATTTGAAACCTTTAAATCATGATTGTCCTGTCAGGATAAGAATCCATTCTCTCTTAAAACAAACTTTTAAAAATCAAGGCTTAGAATTGAGTCCTAAAAATGTAAACATTATACCATATTTGTCAAATTTAAATTAGTTTTTGAGAAGAAAGAGAAGGAAAATGTGGCAAAAACAGGACTTTAGTTCCCACAGAGCCCAATTCTCAGAACCTCGTTGCATGATTGTCCAGCATGAGAGGTTAAGGGGCAGGATGTTGTAAGACCAAAGTAACTTTGGCCTACCACAGAAAGTTCTGGCAGTGCCAGGCCCACTCAGAAGACGGGAGAGGATCTCCAGTATTGTTCCTTTCAGATCCCTGATCTGTGCTCTTCCTATCCTGATCCCAGGAGGCCTCTGAATCACTAGTCAGGGGTAGCATTCTTATTTTGAAATCTTCAGAGCTTTTCCAGTTGTAACAGATCTCCCTGCATGTGGGGCTATTTGGAGGCATAAAATGGTTTTGGGTTCGTATTAATGAGCTGAAATCCCAGAGGTGATAAAGGGGATTTAGTGGGGTGAAAAGTCTGTTGGCATTCAAGGCCTTTGCCAGGTTTCAGGACTGCAGATTTTACCCTGGGTGGGCCCTCTTTGGGAGGAAAACGGGATTCATAAAGATCTAGACCTGAACAAAACATACCTGCCTGTTGTCATTGCTTGATTGCACACATTCCATACACAAGCCTGTAAACTCTGGAGTGGTTGGGCACTTATCCCCATGCATATCCATAGGGTAGCAAGCAGCGCTTTTGCAAACTGACCTAATTGGGAAACTTGGCCTTTTTCAGGCAGCTTAAGGCCACACACACGGCTCACCACTACCCTCTGCTGGCCATCATGGAAAACTGCTTAGCTGTGACAGAGACCCAGAGCTGCAGCTGGTCCACTGGGAGCAGAAATAATGGCATGGAGCCCTTGTGTTCAGCCAGGCTGAGCCTGGGCATGGATAATTTTCCACGATTGTAAAGTGTTTCTCTCCTCTGGTGTGAGTTAAATAAGGTAGCTTCACTGCACCATATAAACAATGTGCCTGGTGCAGCTGCTCCCTTAGCCTGTCAGAGGGTACTGGTGACCCATATGTGGCCTTGTTCAGAAATGTGGAGCCGGTGCCTCAGCGGGTGGTACCCCTGTGGAGCACATGAAAGATCCGAATCGCCTTCTTCCAAACCAGTCATTTCTCTGTTGTAGGAACACTTGCTGCCACCTGTTTACCTACGGTAACTTATGTATCTGTAGAATCTGATTTCTCAGTTGTCTAATTAGAACTTCCAAGCTAAAAGGAGAGTAAAGGCATTGACCCTCAGCTGGTGTGCAGTTTACCAGAGCCTGGAGAAATTCAGGTCTCAGATCCCAGATCAACTGCATCAAATCCATGCTCTATCAGTGATTCCTGTGTCTGTCAAAGGCGCCTTAGTGCCTCTGAGAACATGCTCAGCACACAAATTTACTTACTTCTCAGGCTTCCCAGCCAATGAAATTAGCCTGGTGATCTTGTCAGCTTCATTCGCCTCTGAGTCCTCCAGCATCCCAGCCCCTCCACTGCCACCAGCTGGTTCTTGTCATCTGTGTGACTAGAGGGGATCTGGAAGACTGCTCTGCTTTCTGGGGCCATATCCCTAAAGCACAGATAGAGATTCAGACATGGTTATAGCTGGAATAAGCATGTGAATAATAGCCATTGTACTTATTGGGTGCTACAGAGTGCCCAGGACTGTAGTATAAGCTGTATACATTGTCTCTAACCTTGACAATTCTGCAGGAGGATGGTGGTCTTATTCCTGTTTTTCAGATAAGGGAACAGACTCAGATGGGTTAAATTGTTCCCTTAAGGTCTGTGGTTAGTAAACGGTCTCAAGGACCTCCAGACACAATTCCCACCACCCTGTGAGCAAGCCTGGGCTCCAGTCCTTTTTATTGTTTTTAATGCAAATAGCCTGGGAGGAGAAGTAGTAAATCACCAACTTGTTAGGGGGACCCAAAAAGTACCCCTAAAATGAACAAGAGTTTATTAGGAGGTATTTTCTTCTCTCTCACCTCAGGTTTCAGGGGCCCAAGTAAAGATTGTTGCTTGTGCACTATAAAATAAACAGGTTTTCTTTTCTTTAGGGAATGCCACTCCATCACCTAATCTGCTTGCATAAAGTCCCCATAAATCAACACAGTGCCAAACAGTATTGGCCCACTAGGCAGGTGAGGAAACTGAAGCCCAGAAAGAGGCATAAGCTAGGCGTGGGTGACTTAGGAAGCTAAAGGTAGGCCAGGAACTCTATTTTTGACCCTGTTCCAGTCAAAATGTCTTTCACGAGCAGCTTTAATTTCGTTAAGACCTCCTTGGTCTCCCGGACAGAGAAGTGCCAGGATAGCAGAAGCATAATCTAGTCTCATGATTTTAGAAACCATCTAAATCAGTAGTTCTAAACTGGAGGTTGTCCTGGCCGGTGTGGTTCAGTTAAACTCTAACTGTTAAGAGTCCTGTGCACCAGAGGCAGCAAATTCATTCCCATTCAGGGCACATCCCCAGGTTTGATCCCTGGTTGGGAGACAACGGATCAATGCTTCTCTCACATCGATGTTTCTCTTTCTCTCCCTCTTCCCCATCTCTCCCTTTCTTCCTTTAAGATCAATTAAAAAGTAAATAAATAAAATAAATTAAGAGCAATTTTGACCCTGGAGACATTTGGCAATGCCTGCAGCTTTTTCTGATCACCACAAACTGGCACCCAGTGGACAGAGGCCAGAGATGCTACCCTGTATATAGTTTGTTAAATGATGAGGATTACAAAGAATTAAATGATGAGTACAAAGAATTAAAATACAGCCAGAAATGAGGTAGTGCTGAGGTAGGATTGCAATCGTATTAGGCTGGTATGGTCATGGAGTACCTCACTGATGAGGTGACAGGTGAGCAGAGACCTGAAGGAGACCAGGGAACAGGCCGTGAGGCTATGTGGGGACACAGCATTGCAAACCACTGAAACGGCAAGTATAGGACTGAGGTGACAGCACACTTGGTCTGTTCAAGGAACAGCAAAGATCCAGCTGGGCTGCAGGAGAGCAAGCAAGGGGAGAGGGATAGGAGAGGCACTTTATTTCTTGTGTATCTGGAAACACTTTTTCTAAATCATACATTTTAGTTTCAAGAAGCTCAGCCTTTTAGAATTACAGAATTGAGGCACAGTATGGCAGGCGGACAGAACTGAGGACACTTTATAGAATGAGAAATGTGTACTCCCCCTTTCTGCGGGCCTCGGAAATCTGAGGGGAGAGGATTGTGGAAAGAGAGCATTCCCTCCTTATAAGTTAACATCATGCTGGACGCCTCCATCTGTCCCTAGAAGGCATTTCCTTTTATTCCCCTCCTTCTCTGGGAGACGAGGCTGCTCTTTCAACTCAGGCTGAGGTGGTGGCTTCTCTGAACATCCCTTTATTCTGGAAAGTAACCACTGCACTGGCTTGTGCCAGACGATGGATGTTTTTAGTTTCATACCATCAGATGCAGCCACTGTCCGCTGTCCTGTGCGTGACCCTTGAAAGAGGCAGCTCAAATCTCCTGCCTCTGCAGGGCTGGGAGTTCAGCTTGAGGAAGGAACAGGAGGACATGCAGGGTCCTTCCTTCTCCTGGCTCCTGGAAAGATCCAATCTGTTCCTGAGAATTGGCCCAGATTGTCAGGAAGTCAGGACATCAACCATCTCAGCAGAGTGAAATGGAGAGGGTGGGACTCAGGTGGCAGGGGGTGAGGAGTAGAGTGCCTTAATAACTGCCCGTGTTTCCTCCCCCAGGTTGCCTTAGAAATGCTTTTTACTGGGGAGCCCATATCTGCTCAGGAGGCCTTGCTTCATGGGCTGCTCAGTAGAGTAGTGCCGGCAGATCAGCTGGAGGAAGAGACCATGAGAATCGCAAGAAAGATCGCTTCCTTGAGCCGTCCTGTGGTGTCTCTGGGCAAGGCCGCCTTCTACAAGCAAGTGCACCAGGACCTTAGAACAGCCTACCACCTGGCCTCCCAGACCATGGTGGACAATGTGGCCTTGCAAGATGGGCAGGAGGGAATCAAGGCCTTCATCCAGAAGAGAAAGCCCGTCTGGTCACACTGAGTCGGCCATATTAGAGGGATGGAGGGAGCGTGACCCAGGGAGCAGCTCTCAGGATGCTCCTCTCCCCTCTCCCCCCTCCACTGCTGCCTAATATCAAGAACAGCAGACAGACTGCTTCTGTACAATAGTCATGGTCCCACTGCATGGGGTCTGTATTCAAAGCCATGGTTCCATGGGGAAAGGATGAAACGGAGACTCAAAGGAAAAACTAATTTTAATTTAAGAGTGGTGAGCACCTATGCTGGGTCAGCTGCGGTAGTAAGCCTGGAATTTTATACACTTCTTCACGGGACCGTAAGTGTGGGACCACACTGACATGGGAGAAGGTGACGATAAAATGAAGCATGAAAGAAAAATGCCAACCTGCTTCTGCTGTCAGTAGTTCTGTTTGCCCAGACATACGAACTGTTTCCAATCTCTATGAGGTGTTCTCCACATTGCACATCTTGGTTCTATTGAGAAAGAAACATGCCTATGGCTTTGGAATAATCGTTTGTGACTACTTTAAAATACTAAATATTTAGAGAGTCTGGTATTTTATCTTTTTAACCAGAATATAAGCTGTTTGAGGGGGGGGAAAAAAATAAATGAATTCTTTCTTTGTACTATGGACACTGAGTAGGTGCCTGACTTTTTTGTAGTGAATGTCATGGCCATTGGAGCTACTATGAAACGGGAACCCTGGGTACAGCCTGAGGATAAAAACATCAGGATAGGTGGGAAGGATGCAGAACACATGTCTTTCCCACTAAAGATCACCTGCTATGGACATGCTTCCAAACTCTGCTCAGCTGCTGGTGAGAATCCACAGTAGCATCGGGCAGTTGAGTCCCCAACCTGAGCAAGGGCTTGGTTTAGGACTTATATTCAATATATGCTACTTTCTGGCTTCTGTTTTTAGCCTGGCCAAGAAATGTCTAAATCTCCTGTCCTCAAGCTTGCCCAGTTTATTTTACCTAAGAGTAGAATGTGGTCCTAAATGTGGTTAGTACCAACCAAAAATGAGAACCATGTGGTTCTAGCCAGTGGTTCTCGCTCAGGGCAAGCATTTCTTGGTATGATGTCCTATAGTGGTTTCACAGGTTTCTTTTCAGATTGGCATGTATTTGTGTAGTTTTTTTAAACAGGTTTAGAAAGGTTAATAAAAGAGTTATCTTAGAAAGGAAGAGATTGTTCTAAGAGTGCCCCTCCTGAGCGAAAACATCATTAGAACTACCATCTGCTGGACACATGACATGCTACATTCTTCTTCAGTCCTTACTACACTCAGGGAGCAGGACCTAACGTGATCTCCACCAAACACGTGAATAGCTGAGGCCCACATGGTCCCAGATCAAACAGCTGACACTGAGTAGAGTGAGGGCTCTAAACTCTATCTGCCTGGTGAAGCCATGGATACTTTCTCCTGGCCACACTGCCTTACTGGGAGGCCAGCCCGAAGATGTGGCTCTCCGGCTCCATGGCAGCTTTCCAACCCAAACAGACCAGGCGCTCCTTGCTCCAGAACTCTGCCAGAGTGCAGGCGATATCGGATTTGAGTTATTGGCAGACCACAAATGGAGTTTTTCTATAAAACTAATAAAGAGCTGGCTGCAGTTCTAAAGTAGGTGGTGAAGGATGGAGCTGCCAGAACAGTGCAGTCAGTGGGGTCCCTACTGCACCCTCTCTCCAGGGGCCTGCTGTGGCACTCACTGTTTGCCAGTGCCAGCTCACACAGCGTAGAGGAGAAGGTGTTATAAACTCTCTGTGCATTGGAGAAAGTAACAAAGCCTTTTCACACATTTGGCAAATGAAAAGCAAAGGTTAACAACTTCCCAGTGTCTGTGAGTCACACGATTCTCTCAAACCATGAAATCCTGGGGCCTCTGGGCTGCCTTCCCAGCCTGTGAGCTGATGTGCCCTCAGAGACTAGCTATAAAATAGTCTCTTGTGCATAAATAATCCAGAATGAAAGTCTGCTACCTACCTTCTGATGTCATATAATTAACCCCAAGGCTAATATAAATTTTGGGTTAATATGTATCAGGTTCCTTCCACTGGGACATAGAATGAACATTTTCTGCTAACATGTCATGATTTGCCTCTGGAAAGTCTAGTATACTTGTCTTTCTCAGGGAGCTTTGCTGAGCTCATCCCAATAGTCATCAACTCCAGCAGTACAGGGGCTGGAAGGTCTGTGAAACAGGTGTTCACTCCTGCTCACCTGGACAAGACACCATTCCAAAGGCTGGCTCTAGGCAGCTGGAAAATATAAAGAAATGGAGTGAATGACTGATTAACTTTACAGGAAACAACTGTCAGGCAATGAAGTAGCTCTTCCTGTCCCCCTGTCATCCGAGAGTTCAGAGGGTGAGGGCATCAGCCACCATGGAGGGTTTGGATCTGTATGGTTCTGAAGCCTGTGCTCCTGACTACCACATTAGATTCCTCCCAACGTGACTACCACACTGAGGCCTGGAGAGAAAGACTGCCCGTGCTCAATGGCAGCCAGTCGGAAATGGCACAGCCACGCCAACTGTTTTCCTTCCCAAACAGGATTCGGAAACTTGCAAATGGCAACACAAAGGGCGCTTAGTCCCAGGTTTGCCATTAACTAGTCGTGTCACTTGTGTGCAGGTGATGTAAGGTGACCAGACGTCCCACTTTTGGCGGGACAGTCCTGATTTTTAACAATTTGTCCTGCGTCACGTGGCATTTTTAAAAAGGCCCGATATTTTGGAAAGATTCCAAAATATCTGGACTTTTTTTAAAATGCCGCGGGATGCAGGCCAAACCCCTTTCAGCACTCAGCTGCCCAGTCATAAAAATGGCCTGATGGGACACTTCCTCTTCTACAATACTGGTTTGGGAAACTTGCCTGACACTTGAAACAGGAAACTTTTGTTTGTAGAAAATGCTCTTTTATGAATGAGGAATAGGAGCAGGCTATTTTTACATTGAAAACACCTTATTACATTTGAGAACAAGAACATACCCAGAGGTTTTCGGGCCACACTTGAACCTTCTGATGTCATGGCTAGAAAGACCCTACAGCAGGCAGATCTCTGTCAAAATTGGCAGCTACCCTTCCTTTGTCAGCCAGCCTCCTCTCCTCTCTCCTTCCTCTGAATATCCACCATGCTGAGAGTATTTCCAAGATGTGGCCCATGGAAGGTCTGAACTGTACAAGTGCAGACTTCTGAGTTCCTCACTAGACCTGTTGAATCATAATTCTGGTTGGGGGGACCCCAAAATATGAACTTTAAAAAGAGATTTCCAAGTGATTCTGCTGCACACTACAGTGTGAGCTCCTGCACCAGGGTGGACATGACATAGCTCTCTGTCAGTGCCTGCAGTGGAGCATTGGGCCTTTGTGAGCAGCTGTGCGGCCTGGGGAGCACTATGAGGAGACCTGAGACTTCCAGGATCCCCTTAAAGCCCTCCACTAGGGCAGGTTTTAGGGGCTTCCTCAGCCCTCAGTTCTTAAGCTTTGGAAGTCCTACCTCCTATCACATTAATCACCAGAACACACTCATATTGTGCAGCAAATAACTATAATTCTTCTATTTAGGGAAGGAAATGAAATTATTTGCTTTTTAATATTTTAAAAATATTTGATTAATTTATTATTTCTGGGCAATCATCAAGTAGGTAATAGTTAAATTCAACATTGAAATTGACATTTTGCAGGTAATAAAATATTAAATTTCAGTCTTGCATTGTATTTTGGGCTCAAAACTTATTTTTCAGGTCCCAACCAGAGACCCATGCAGTGTCTCTTGAATGGAACACCTGCCCAACGGGCTCACAGCGGGGTTGGCTGTCCACAGGGAAATGGGGATGAGGGGAAGCAGTTGGTAAGTCAGGTGTCATGACGTTTATATTCTCAGCGTGCAGCCTTCAGACATCTTTATTGATTTTATTTTGATACGAGAGGGCACAGGCCAGGCTGAGGGATCCCTCTGGTGCACGATCAGGCTGGCGAGGGACTGCAAGAGGGCTCCAGGTTTCCTTTCCTTCTGACAACATTTGACTGTGTTGAGGAAATTCTGTATGGAACCCCAGACTGGGCCATACCTTTGTGCTGGGAAAGGGAGTGGATGGGCTGCAGGGCAGGGAGGGCCAGTGTAATGACCAACTGCCCTCTCAGCAAGATGTGCACATGGAGGGAATTCTGCCGTGATTGGTCCCTCGTAACCAAGGTGACCACAGAATGTGTTCTGGTTGGCTGGGGCCAGCTAGGAGCCAGGCCTTCAGTTGAGAAGCAGCTGTGGCAGGCGGTGGAGCTTTGGCTGTGCTCTCTTCTTGAAGTGGTTGTGGTTCTCAGCAGTTGCTGATCGGCATACCTTTTAGCTGAGTGAGACTGTGGCTGTCCTCACAGACTGGTCACCTCAGTGGACGCGGCAGCAGCTGACAGCTGTGCGGGGGCGCGGGGGAGGGGGGGAGGAGGGAAATAGGGGCGTGGTTTGCCATTTGGGGGTAAGAGGGTGGGTTGGGGGGACTGTAGAGTGAAGGCAGTACCAGCAGCTAGGAGTAGAGATTCCTCATGGGGAACAAACTCACCTGCTGCTGCCTGAAGCCCAACGCCAGCCCCAAAGTGGGCCGGAACGTTGAGTGGGTGAATCCACACCCTGAGTCTTATGTCTGTGAGGTGACTCAAGCTGGCCAGACATATAAGAACTCGGATTTTGTGTTCTGCACATGCCACCCTGTGGTGCACCTCAGTGACCTGCAAATTCCCACAGGTAAGGAGGTGGCAGGTGTTCACTGCTGTCCGTTACCCCGCTGGCCTCTGCTGACCGCAGGATCCTCTAGATGAGCGCCACCTCAGACTCCTTCCTGCCTTCTTTCTGGTATCCCGAGCCTTCATTTCCCCTGTCATGTCTGGCCGGTTTCTCTTCCTGTTTACTACCCAGATGTCCAGTTCCTCCTTCTATCCCCAGCTCAGCCCGAGACACTCCAGTTGTCCCTTCCTGTTCATGGCTCTGTTTAACATCTCCTGGGCTCTAGGAAGAATTTTGGATATATGTTCTCCTTTTTCTCAGTGAAAACTTTAACATCCCGACTGCAGTTTCCATCCCATCTCCCTATCCTTATCCAGCATTGTGGTACCTAGTGTAGGAATCAGGTAGGGCCCAGTGATAACCCTTGCTCCCACCTGTTAAGATAGTTGATATTCTGGACAGTCCAGCTGCAAAGATTGCAGGGTTTGTTATGTAAACTCAAAATCAATAACTGACATAGAACCTTTATAGTGTTCTTGCGTAGGCTGTTTTCAGTTGCCTGAATAGAAGCTGTTTACTACTTCCAATTGTAATTTGAACACAGAAGGAAATTGTGGGAGAGGGAACTCAAAATTTCTCAAATGACATGAATAGTTATTTGTTTGGTTTTTACATTTAGAAGGATCCAGGGAGTTCTGATTACTTTAATATGTCCACGTTGACACAAATTTCCCTCAGTCTTACTTCAGGGACCTAAGAGACTTTCTTGCCATATTGCTTGTTCCAAAGGAGGGGTGGGTTGTTCACAAGAGTGTCGGTCAAAAGTTTCCAGAGAGAACACATACATGTAGACTTTAATTTGTAACAT